ACTCATGATTTTATTTTTATAGGCTAACACTAGTTTGTGTTTTCGAACTATTTTAGTTTAATTAATTTTGTTGACTGTAAAAATATAACGTAAATATTTTTTTTACTTCACATTTCCATACATGATTTTTGTTTCCTCAATAAAAATTCATGATAACATCAATAACGGTAGTCCCAATTTATTAAAAACCTTTATACAAAAAAAGTTATTAATAACATATTGGGAAATTATTAAAAATACCCCTTTTGGTGTGCCCCTTTTCAAAAATTCCCCTTTTAGATGTCCATTTTCAAAAATGCCCTTTTTTAAATCTGAAATTTTTATAAAGTTTTATTAGGTTTATAAGGTACTTATGGATTGTATCTACTACTTGAAGACTCGATCCAAGTATTTATAAGGTTTTATAAGGTGTTTTAAAAGGTTTTACAAGTTATTTTAAAGGATTTTTAAGGTTTTTCAAAGGTTTTACAAGATATTTTAAAGGTTTTTAAAGGTATTTAAAATGCATTTATAAGGTATTTATAAAGTATTTATAAGATTTTAGATACATAGAAATGTAGTTTGTGTATGTTTTAATAATATTACATACATATTTGGGTAAATCTTATATTTTTAAGAGCATTTTTTATAAGGTTTTAAAAAAAGGGTATTTTTGAAAAGTGGCATTTTTGCAAAAACCCCTAACATATTTGATATATTATTTTGTAAGAAAATTAGAAATTTCGATTTATATGTATATTTTAATTTTTTTTTTAATTGTCTTTTTTTTTTCTTTTTAAATCGAAATTTTGATTGAATTCTCCAGCCTACTTGCTACAATAGACTGACCCTTTTCCCTCTCTAAGACCTTTCTTGGTCTGAAGAAAAGAGGAAGAGAAAAGGTTTGGTTGGTTCCACAGGTGTGATGGGTGTCCGATGAACAGGGCCGGCCCTACGAGTTATGGAGCCACAAACAATTACGGTTTGGGGGTCTCATAATCTATATATAAATTTTTTTTTACTGTTTGGGGGCCCCAAAATCTATACATATTACTCGTTAAAAATTTGAGGGCCCAACACGAATGTTTCACCCGACTGTGCTCAGTTACGGCCCTGCCGATGAAGCCGGTGTTTGGTGTGGCCAGTGTCTAATGAAGACGGTATTCGGTGTTTTATATGCATATTTACGTCAAGGATTTTGGTCTTATTGATTTTCTTGCATATTTTTTTTAACCGGAAATATCCTCGGTACTCATCGTATCGGTCCAAAGTTATTTCACTATATTTGTGGTTTGGTAAATGTATGATCCTTGTTTGGGTGAATGAAATATATATACCTGGAGGAGCAGATAATTAAGAATCTATACAAGAAGACCATTTATTTAGGTGGCTTTTTTCGTGCAAAATTAGTATGACAAAAATACCCCTACACGATAGGAAACTCGTTAGTGTACTGACTGGAGATAACACTGTTAAACATTTATAATTTTAGTGTAAAACTGTTTAGTTAACATGCTAAAACATATGGTATCGCTATAAGTTTACATATTATGTGTTAAATGCATGTTTATCGATTTTAAATTTAGGAATTAGTATTTTATATTTATGTTAATATCAGTTCAATAAAAAAAATTAGTCTTTTTCTTACATAATTAACATGATAACAATAATAATAGCGAGTTATAAAGAATGATAACGTGCTAACATATTAAATATACGAATAATATTTGTTTGAACATGGTAATATTTATATTAATATGTAACCAAGAGCTGACCTTCTACTCGATCGCCTCATCCATGGCTTCTTCCACACCTCTCACAAAATTCTTCAAAACAATCTATTGCGATTTCTATTCTAAATTTGGTTCGAAAGGAATAAGCTCAGCAGGATCAAACTAACCATAACTACTATCCCCAAAAAACGCAACAATAACAAGATCAATCCGCCTCATACGACGAACAGAAGGAGATGCAAAAGCTTCATTTAATATATGACCAGACCACCAAGGATGAGACTTTACCTTACCCCAAACCAAATCTCCAACTTCAAACTCATAACTCAATGCTCTCAGAACTCAACCCATTTTCTCATTCGCAACATAATCATCAAACTCAGATGAGAGAGATTTGTAAACAGATATTCTTCGTTTCTCTTCCTTCAAATCTAAATTCAATTCCTTCTCATCAGTTTCAGAACTAACCTCACTAGATTGATCATCGGAGCAATCATCTTCTTCTTCTTCTTCTTTAAGCTGAGAACTCTCATCATCTTTATCAATTAAATATCTTTGCTTTTAATTTTAGAATTCGTTTCACTCATTATCATCTTCTTCCTCACTCTCTACGACACTATTTTTCTTTGATCTCTCACTCTGAGAAACTCTAGCATTACCATCGTCATCTGTCACCGCCGAATCGAATTTCATAGGTGAAGAAGCTCTAGCGTTATCAATCTTCTTCAATGGCTTCAATAAAACTTTTGATTTTTTCCCAGTTTTTTTTTTCTTTAGTCATGAATTGAATTTGCTAAAGTAATAGAGGTAAAAGAATCTATATCACAGCTACAGTAATGGCCAAATAGTGATAATATGTGTTAGTTAATTTCTTAATCTTTTGAGTACATAACTTGCAATTTCCCTTGTTTTTTTTTATAAAATAAAAAAACAAAGATTGAATCCTCCCACGGCAGCCGTAATGGAGAAGTCAAAATCATATCAACAACGAGATCATGATGATGATGCTGATCCTTTACTTCTCATAAACCCAACAAGTTCATCAACATAACGAATATTCTCATCCATGTTTCCAAACAAACCCTTCATCAACTTTACCTTTTCCCTTATCTCCTCGCCAGCATCATCAATCATCACTAATCTAACCGAGTCAGCCACCGAATCAGAACCAAACGATCCATCTCTCTCATCTCTTAAAACCTCAACACCAAGTCCTTTCCCTTGCAACAGCCTCGTGTTAAGTCCTTGCTCATTCAACACCGGCAAAAAGATCGGTACTTTACCAAACCCTATCCCTTCCACCACTGAGTTCCAACCACAGTGTGTCAAGAACCCTCCCACTGACTCGTGACTAAGTATTTTCACTTGTGGAACCCAACCAACATGAACCATGCCACGTCCCTTGACTCTTTCCTCGAACCCGTCTGGAATTTGTGGCTCGTTCCTTAGAACCCAAAAGAAAGGCGTCTCTGACTTCTCCAACCCAAGAGCTAGCTCGGTGAGTTCCTCACGACGAAGACTCGCTTCGGTGCCAAGTGACACGTAAACCACTGAGTTAACTCGTTGCTTGTCGAGCCACTCCTTTATACGAACCCATGTAGTATCATCGTCGTCATCTTCAATAACGGGAGGAAGAAACCCGATTGGAAAAACCGGTTTACGGTACAAATCTTGTAGTAAACTAAACCATTCCGGTTCAAACTCGGGACAACTACGGACAAAAACCGCATCACTCCCGTCAATCGTGTAACCAAACCGGACCGAGTCAGAGACTCCGGTTACATCTTCATCGGTCTTCTCAACGTATCTACTGACTTCATGATAACGAAACACGATGGTTGACTTAAACGGAACCCACGGTGGCACCACCGTGAAATCTTCCGGCGTTGATCTAGATTCCTCAATCAACGACGAAGACGGTCCCATAAAACAGAGAGTAGCTGCGTTAAAGAGACTAAAGAAAGCTTTCGAGATTCCAAGCTCCTTTGCAATAGATGGAAGCCAGTGAGAAGCGTAGTCATATATGATCCAATCCGGAGACGACAGTCGGAGAAATTCCGTCAACGGTGGCTGAAGAAGATCGAAAGCCGCTTTGAGAGACTGTTGCTTGTTGTAAGGTACGTCCATGGAGGATTCTGAAGAAGGAGGCAAACCGGAGATGGAAGGGAGAGGGAAAGAGACGAAGGTAATTGAGGAGGAGAGGTTTGATGGTAATTTGGGAAGTCTTAGGATGTTTCGTGGTGTAGATATGAAAGAGATTTTGTGACCCTTTTGAGCTAGTAACTTGGATAGACGAAGAAAAGGAAGGAGATGACCCATAGCTAGCCATGGAAACATGGCTATGTGCATAACTTCTTCTTTCTTGTCGTCCATTTTTGTTATTCTCTGCATCTTCAATAAACCATGGAAATTGTTATGGAATCCTATGTAAGTATCCACTACGTGATGGAGAAGGGAATAAACATGAAATATTTATTAGTTTAATTTTCATTGTTGACCAAAAGAAGCAGGGAAAATTACCCTTTCTATCATTCTATGTAATGTTATCTTGTTTTAAAATATAATAAAAGGGCTAATTAGATTTCGTAAGTATATAACTATAATATCAAATTTATATTTAGTAACGTGCATCATAATCCTTACGACGTCATGTTGTTTCTCGTAGAAAGATATTCATATTTCCTAGCTATAAAATTAATGAGTTTTCTTTTATAATACTCTTTAAAAGTAATTCCCCAAAAATAATTTTTTTTTTTTTGAAAACGAATAGCGTCACGGACAGTTGGTAGATGAATTCTATAGTATTAATCAAAATAGTAACATGCATTGAAAAAAATAGTAACATTGAATAAATAATAATCACGAAGAAGAAGATAAAAATGAGGCCAACAAGAGAGATGTGAAAGAGACCGAATTGATTCATAGCACACTCCAGATTTGGGAAATGGGGGATGTCCCTCTCTCTCTCTCATCATCCCCACTTGTCTCTTATCTTTTTCTCTGCATCAAAAATCAAATCAGTTTTTAGAATAAATTAGACATATATATAATATATCCAATGACTATAGCAAGTTTTTTTTTTTTGAAACTTACAAATATTTTATATTTAAAACAGATTACATTACATATAGTATAATTTAGTTTTTATTTGATGATATTGTGTTCCCAACTTTCATAAAAAAATTAATAACTATTGTAATAGTTGTTGTTGATCAATTGTATTATAATAATATAGTTTGAAGTTTGAACACAAAAACTTAAAAATTAAAATAAGAGAAAGGTCAAAAAAAAAAAAACGAGAGTGTGAACCCACAACAAATAGACAGAATCAGACACATATATATTTATCTTCACTTGCAATTCCCAACTAGCGGCGCCGCTCTCTTTTCTTGCTTTCAAAGCTCATCTTCCTCCTTCCCTATCCTCTCATTTCTCTTTTTTCTTTTTATAGCAAAAAAGTAAAGAAAACATTTTTATTTTATTTTTTATATATATAGAAAACAAGAAGCAAATACTTTTTCATTTTATAATTTATCACCATACCATTTCCCAAAGGATTACGAAAAGTCCCTCTCCTCTATCATCTCTTTATTCAACCCCATACCAACAACTTCTACATCTTCGTGTTCTTCTTCCTCCTTTTTTTTTAATCATTTACACAAAAATCCAAAGACAAATCTCTAATAAACAAATCCATAAAAAAAAAGAAAAACAAAGATGAAAGGTGAATACAGAGAGCAAAAGAGTAACGAAATGTTTTCCAAGCTTCCTCATCAACAACAACAACAACACTCTCTTACCTCTCACTTCCACCTCTCCTCCACCGCAACACCCACCATCGATGACTCCTCCATCGAAGTCGTCCGACGTCCACGTGGTAGACCACCAGGTTCCAAAAACAAACCTAAACCACCTGTCTTCGTTACACGTGACACCGACCCTCCTATGAGTCCTTACATCCTCGAAGTTCCATCAGGAAACGACGTCGTTGAAGCCATCAACCGTTTCTGCCGCCGTAAATCCATCGGAGTTTGTGTCCTTAGTGGCTCTGGCTCCGTAGCTAACGTCACTTTACGTCAGCCTTCTCCGGCAGCTCCTGGCTCAACCATAACTTTCCACGGAAAGTTCGATCTTCTCTCCGTCTCCGCAACTTTCCTCCCTCCTCCGCCACGTACTTCCTTGTCTCCTCCCGTCTCTAACTTCTTCACCGTCTCTCTAGCCGGACCTCAAGGACAAATCATCGGTGGGTTCGTCGCTGGTCCACTTATCTCCGCAGGAACAGTTTACGTCATCGCTGCAAGTTTCAACAACCCTTCTTATCACCGGTTACCGGCGGAGGAAGAGCAAAAACACTCGGCGGGTACAGGAGAAAGAGAGGGCCAATCTCCACCGGTGTCTGGTGGCGGTGAAGAGTCAGGACAGATGGCGGGAAGTGGAGGAGAGTCGTGTGGGGTATCAATGTACAGTTGCCACATGGGTGGCTCTGATGTTATTTGGGCCCCCACCGCCAGGGCTCCACCGCCATACTAACCAATCCTTGTCTCACAAAACTCTCTTCTTTTCTTTCTTTTATCTTTTTGTTTTAGGATGAATCAAGAAACTAGGGTTTTTTTTTTTTTTTTTTTTTTTTTTTGCTTTTGATCATGAAGAATCGTTTGCTTTTTTTATCTTCTTAGATTTTTGTATCAGAATTGACATTTCTTTCCACGGTGTAATCACTTGGTTTTATGGTTACCTTCTTCTATGCGGTTGCAAGTTCGATATTAATTTGAATTGACTCATATAAATATGCTTCCAAGTGTCTTCAATCGTATTCTAGAGAATTTAAAATATTTGTCTCTAATGATTGTTTCATTTTAATACTCTCATTGGATAAATTTGTTTGTTTATTGGATCTTGAAAGTGTGGCTGTATATTAATGGTTTAATTCATAGCAATTAGGTAATTTCAAGATAGTTGGCTATTTTTATCTTCCACACCACCATCGAGGCATCGACCTTACGATTTTGGCCGCATGTCAAGAAAGCGGGCTACTTTTTATCCTCCACACCATCGACCTTACAATTTTGGCGGCATTGACCATAATACTTTTTGTTTCCATAACAGTCTACTATACATTTTTGCAGCAGTTTTTGGGATACCCAAATCGGGTCAAATTTGTTTAATTTTGACCCAGAAATCTTCAATCGGATCTTTCCTTAAATTTTAGCAAAATTAAAAAACGAAAATAATTAATAAAATCTAAAATATATATACTTTCTCAACTAATTACTATATTTAAACGCTTTATTTATGGTATATTCTCCACGATTTTTATAGATAAAGAAATTAAATATGATGATTTAATGCTAATATAACAAATTTGCACTAATTTCCTAAAACCTCTCTACCTAATTTAAACATAAATATATGATTCTTATTTCACTTTTATTTGATCTTATATTTATATTATTTTAAATTATTATAAATATATAAATAGTTAGTAAATTTTAGTTTTTTTTTTTCTGCATATGTTACAATTCAAATTTTTTAAAACGGACATATATTACTCAATCGATGAATAAAAATATGTGTGTAATCTATATTAATATTTTTAAGAACAAATTGAGCATTTAATCATGTCGTTATTTTATTCAGACCCGAAATTGAGTCATTCGGATCTTTCTTTAATTTTTACAATTATCTAAAATGGGACAGTATATCACGGGTGAAATCCTAATTAGTATTTTAAGATACAATTATAAATTGTTTTTACGGGTTGGTCCAAAAACACACACTAATTTAAAAATATACATGGAAACTATTTGAAAGCAACTTTCAAATTAACTCGAATTATATGACATTTAAATAAAAGTGTTATTAAAAAAATAACAAAATGATGTTTAATTTCATTTTAGATTATATGGTTGGACGGGTTTGGGTCAATATTAATACGAGACAATATACCACAGGTGAAATCCTATAAATAACAAATCAAAATACAATTATACAATCTTAAACACTAAACAAAACAAATACAACTTAAAATTTTTTATTTTAGATACAACGCATGTGACCCGCGGTATACAACAAAAAATATTATACACAATAAATTCATCAATTTATAAAAATAAAAAAAATCAAATAATTAACCCGCGGTGTACTGCGGGTCATATCCTAGTTATATACAAAAAGTAAAAAAATGTACAAATGGTTTTGTGACTTTTGTCATATATTTTGATTGCGCAATTGATTTTCTTTCCAATTATAAGTATTTACAAAAAAATTGTTGTAGATTTAACCAAAAAAGATAAAAAAAACTTATGAGAGAGCGGGAATTTGTTTTTGTGTTTCTAAGTTTTAAAAAGACAATAACTACGCATATACGTGAAGCATTGATTGGACACTGTTTGGCTTTGTCTTAATGTGTCTTGATGTTTGGATTCATGTCCCTGGTCTCTCTCATATATCCAGAAGTTTGAAGACTATACAACTACAATGTCTGCAAAAACACACATACCTATATATATAAACACATTCAATACCCACTTGTCTTTTCAGTGCCCTCTCTTTTTATCTCTCTATCTTAGCTTTTTTTACATGGGGGTTTGGGTTTGAAACTTGCAGGAAAGGAGAAAGAAACGTGACCAAAATTCGACAACCTTTTCTTTTTGGGTGTCCATTTTCCTTTCTTTTTGTAACACCAGACATATAAATTAGGTATATATTATTTTAATTTGACTATCAAGTAGTATGTACTAAATATGTTTGATTAGGTTAGATTTTTAGAAAAAAAGATTAGTTCCGATATCCCAACCGGCGGGAACATAGTCCATGAAGGTAAATTTATGAAAATTAAGGGGGTGTTATTGGTTTGTGATTTAAATAGAGTTTTAATGACTTTAATTGTTGTGTAGAATCTGTTGTTATTCAATCAAGATTTTGTTAAACTCTCTTAAAGTTTGGTGTTATCAGTTTGTGATTTGTAAAAAGTCATTTAAAATCTTAATGAATATTGTGTTATTGGATTAAGAGTTTTATAAAGTCATTAAAAGTTTTGTGTTATTCAACTAAAACAAAACAATCTATGACAATCTATGATTGTTAATGAATTCAATTATTGTGTTATTGTGTTATTGGTTTATCATTTTAAACACTTTTCTTTACAAAATAAAGTTATGGAAAGTATGCTGAAATATTGAGATTGTTTGGGAGACTCTACAAGATTATAGAAAAACTAATCAACAAGACTATAGAAAACTCTCTAACAATTCTTCTAAATCATTCACTTATTCACTTTCTATGATTTTATTAAAGTCATCAAAACTCTATTTAAATCACAAACCAATAACACCCCCTAAATCTAGTACCATCAGATAAACAATTAACCTAAGACATTAAAACAAGTTTAATGTAAAAAAGCGAGTATTGGAAATACTATATTTGATCTTCACTAACTCTTCTAAATAAGTCGAGAATGCAAGGTAGTCATCAGGAGAGATATGAGAGAATGTCATCTTTACTAACTTAATAAGGTACCTAAATTTGTGTTGGATTTTACTCTCTTGTACGTTTTTGCTTGGGTATTCTCGTGGCCAATGTGTCTCTACGCAAATCTTCGATCCCTTTGGACTCCAACCCACTATTTATCTTGACAGGGCCGGCCCAATCATATTTGCTGCCCAAAGCCAAAAAAGAAAACCAGTTTCAAAACTCGAACCAGGATAGGTGTGTAAGGGAAAACTATCTTTACCACTAAACCATTAAACAACTTTTGTACTAAAATGCTGCCCCTAATATATAAAGGATATTTTGGTGCCTAAAGCCCTTGCTTCATGGGCTTTAGCCCAGGGCCGGCCCTGTATCTTGATATTGTAGGATTTGAATATTTCAACGGGACACAATCTAATTTTTGTAAAGCAATCATTATAGAACAAGTATCAAAAATCAACAATACCGAAAGAATAATTGATGCCAGGAACGGAGATTGACGGTGGTAAACAGAGTCGAGAACTTTGATGATTTCTCTCCTTAACTCAAAAATCACCCGTAGTGCGACGGTTTGATGAAAATTAGAGTCCCAGGATAAAACTGTTTCTCTTTTTGATTCGCAACACTCAAATCAAAAGCTATTCGATAACTAGCTTTGTGTTGTACTCTCAGACTTGAATTAGAGAAGAAAATAAAAGGAAGGAGATTGTTATATGGGAAAGTTATTAGATTAACCCAAATTATGAGTTTAATTACTAGAATGTCTCAAAAAATTTAGGGGTTAAATGAGTTATTTTCATGACCATAATACCCTTTCTCTCTTTGTTAGGAATTAAAAAAAAAGTCAAAAATACCCTTAAATATATTTAAAAAACGTGGTGAAAAAAAATTTGGAAAAAAAAATTATTTGAAAAATCTGCTGGGTTAGTTGTGACAGGTTTATTTACCATGACAGACTTATTTTTCTATGACAGATTTTTTGCGACAGATTTTTTTTCTCCTACAGACTTACTTAAAATAGGTTACGACAGATATTTAATTTGTAGCAGATTTTTTTCTCACGACAGACTTATTTTATGATGACACCACAGACTTTTGTAATTTTGACAGATTTATTAAAATGTGTGGCAGATTTATTGTTTTAGTGGCGTCAGACTTATATTTTTCGAGAAAAATCTGTCACAATGTAGAAGATCTGTTATTAAAAATATAATTACTAGTTTGACTTATTAGTGATAACAGATTTATTTTATGTTATGACAGTTTTTTTTTTCTTAACAAAAATCTGGAGTGTGATAGCAGATTTGTTATATAAAAATATAAATTGCTAGAATGACATATATTCACAACCGAAATATTTTATGTTATGACAGATTTTTTTTTTATTATGACAGATTTCAGATAGACTATAAAAAAATCTGTCGTATGATGACAGTTTTATTGATGAAAATAAAATTTTAATCTGCACAATAAGGTAATGACAGACATATTCTTATCGCGACAGACTTATTTATAATAAGATGGTTCATGTGTGGTTGTCTCCTTGTTAATATATGATAAAGATAATTTTTTCTTCTTTTTTATATATTTTTTCTTTTTAATTTTTTTTTGTATTTTTTTGTTTTATTTTTTTTGTTATGTATTTTTTTTATTTTAATTTTTTTTGTCGTTTTGTAATTTTTTTTTCTAATTTTTTTATTTAATTTAGTTATTATATGTTAATTATTTTATTTTAATTGAATTGAAAATAAAATGGGTAGTTGTTTTCTTTTTGTTTTTTATTTTTTATTTTTTTTATTTTTTTCAATTTATATATATTTTTCATTTGTATTTTTTGTTTTTTTTTTCAATTTTCGTTTTTTGGTTTTATATCTTTTTGTTTTTTATTTTTTATTTTTTATTTTATTTTTTTCAATTTATATATATTTTTCATTTGTATTTTTTGTTTTTTTTTTCAATTTTCGTTTTTTGGTTTTATAATTTTTTTTTGTATTTTTTAATTTTCTATTTAATTTAATTATTTTATTTTAATAGAACTGAAAATAAAATGGGTATTTGGTCTTTTAACACAAAATTTGTGTTATTTTAGTAAACCACAATATTTGGGTGTTAATCTAATTATTTTTCTCTAAATTTGAGTCAAACTAGGTAATTTTCAGTTATTATATTGGTGTTTTTTTTCACGTATCCAATGAGTATTGCCACGAGACCATTTTATAGTGTCTCACACAATCTAAAAATATCGGTGCAATCAAAATGGAGAATCAATCAGACATAATTTCAAGAATTAAATCTGATATTCATCTGTTACAAAACAGATTAATGGCCGTGACTTAAGAGGAGAGATTAATATGGTTTGACCAATTTTTTTTTGTATTGGTTACATACAGAAGACAAAAATCTGGGCCAAATAATTAATCATTTTTCGACCTATGATTAAACATAAATCAGTCCCATTCCACAAAGCCACAAAGCCCCAAGGCCCGAGCCCATATCTCCTCTAACCTCCAAGTGTAACATTTTGATCTTTAATCAAAAGCTAAAACTTTTCAAGTTAGCCATTTCACATCTTCATTTCTCATTCAAACGAACTCCGTTTTTGACATTCCAATACACCACCACGTAGTGCTCGCATCGACGATTTCATCGTGCCCAAGAACTGGTCATTCCGGTGAACGTCTTCACCGGAAAATCCACCGTTACATTGGTCAAAACTATTTTTGTCAAAAACAAGTTCCAACAGATATAACTTATTTCATCGCACTGTCGAACCGTGCTCTCATACCATTTGTCATAGACTTTTTTTATTTTTTTTAAATGAACAATTTGCCGCTTGCAAATGGCTAAGTAAAAACATCTCAAGAAAATGAACTAGACCGTCAAAAGGAGCATCTGTTTTGGAGAATTTCTTTAGAAGTAGACTCATCTTTCATATCCATGGATAATTAATAATTTGGTATATTTGGAAAGCAAAAAATGAAAAAATCTTTGAAAATATGGATAAAGATCTATTAGGCGTATTACGTTTAGCGGAAAAAGAGGCGCAATCGTGGCAGTTAGCTCAATTCGAGCTTCATAATGAAAATCAGGTTTTTTTCAAACTGCGAAACTCGAGCTCGAGTGAGGGGTATTTCACATGATATTATCTACTCCGGATATCATTGTTTCGTGGATGGATCTTGGAAAGGGATTGATAAATTTTCAGGAACATGGTGGTTCTGCACATCATCAAATGGAGAGACGCCAACCATGGGAGCTACCAACATCCGAAAAAGTATTTCTCCACTATATACAGAAGTGGAAGCTCTTCTCTGGGGGATGAAGTGTATGATTGGAGCCGACAACCAAGATGTAGCTTTTTATACATACTGTTCAGACCTGGTGAAGATGGTGTCTTCTCCAACCGAATAGCCGGCCTTTTTAATGTATTTGAAAGATTTTATGAGCGACAAGGAGGAATTTTCAAGTTTCTTTTTATCTTTAGTCCCTCGGATAATTTGGCACGAAAAGTTTGTACCGAGCCGCATAATATCACTTATATAAACAACATTTCTAATAACTCTTTTGAATATTAGTTAAAAACCGTTGAAAAAAAAAGAAAAGAACTAGACCGTCAAAAAGAGAAATAACTGGAAAGAGAGGATAATTGGTGGATGAATACAAACAAGGATCCAACCCTGGCCTATACATATCAAAATGAATCCAAAACGGATGGTAAGAAAAATTCAAATGAAACGGTAATTTAGATTGAAAATCTAGCATAAACTAAATGATCAAAATTAAACAAGGGTGGGTTTACATGGATAATCATAAATAATGATCAAATGGATTGGGCAGATTCTTAGAGCACCTTCAATGGTGATAGATCTAATTTGAGTTTCTAAAAACTAAAATATTAATAATTTTATAAAATTAAATTATTGAATTAAATTTTAGTTTTGAAAACAAGATAAACCACTCATAGAAAGACAAGTATCTTCAAGAGTTTCTTATGAGATTCTAAAAATCTTTAAATAAGAAACTATTTCTAGAGTTTCTTACTTCTCTCTCCTATTTTTCTATTTTTTGAATATTTTTATACTAAAAAAAGATCAAGAGTCTCCCATTGAAGTTGCTCTTAATACCAAATATTCTCCGCAATCCTTTAAATTCTAAACCCTTGTAGATGTCTCTCTACAAACCCAACCCACGAAAATAAAATAAAGTAAAACGAGTAAATCTCAAAGCCCGACCCAATTATTCGACACGACAAGAAAATAAGTGTTCTTTCTTCTTTATAAGCTTCTTAATTATGTGGTCTGTCCAAAAAGATTATACTAGTATAGGTCTAGGAGTTTTGTGAGTTTTTTTAATAACATAGCAATTCGTCGAAGAAACTTGTTTAAAGCATCAAGTTCACGCACGTCACAGCTCGCACATAATAAAACAAATTTCCATTTTTTTTTGATAACGTTAAAAAACAAAAAAACAAATTAATTGCAAGAAACAAAAAAAAAAAAAAGGAAGAGAATTTGCGCGACAACAACAACGATCAGTCGTCGTCGTCGTCTTCTCAGATCTTCGTGATTTGGCGATTCCTCAACGGATTCTATGCCGCAAGAGCTTCGATTGTATCCTCTCTGAGGATTGGGAAAACCATGGACATAGATAGCAAGAACAAAGGAAAACGAATTTACAAAGATAATATTCGTGTAAAGCGGAAAACTTTGCAAGCTTTACTCGATGATTGCCAGAGAGCCCTCGAGTTGTTAAACTTAGCCGAACTCAGTTCTGAAGAAGATGAGGAAAGCACCGGCGAGAGAAATGGGTCACAAGAGGAGGAATCGAACAGGGGAGATCCTGAAGCTGATGAAGTAACCAATTTGTTTTAAATGGCTTCAATTTATGCATCTCTACACATTTCTTCTTTGATTTATGTCTTCAAGCTTTAAACTTTGGAACTTTTTAGTTGATTCATGTGTTTGTTCTTCCTTGTTCCAGTTATATGATCTCATCAAATCCAGGGTTGAATGTGATGACTTCCTTGAAAAGATTGAGTCAGCGCAGGTTTCAGCGCCGCAACATCTTGCTGGTGACGACTTGAATGTTTCATCTTTTGTTTTACTCAATGCTACTACGTTTATGTTTTTTTTAAGCTTTTGATTTTGCTCATTGGTTGTTTAGATGATTGTGATTTATGGTGTTTTAGAAGATAGTGGCGCTTGGGATGTAGTTAGTGAAGATGATCTTTGGGATGATGAAACCATGGCTCAAAGGGAAGAAGATTATGTCCTTGTTAGGGAAGAAGATATAGCAGAGGGCATTGCATGTTTTATGGCTACTTATTTACAATCACTTAAGCAGACAAAGGTATCGAAAGTCCAATTTCCCTTATATTTTGTTCGTTGTATATCAGCCTTTCGTTTGAGTTTATACAAGTTGCCATCATTGTGCAGGACTTGACCCCTGAGCAGCTTCAGAAAGGTATTCTATTCGAGACTCTCCAGTCAACCTTCAAATGCTGTGTATCCCAATGATAAGTAGACATAAGAGTTTGCTGTTACATAATAGCCACGTCACCGTCACTAACACTCAGTTAGCAAGAGAGTTAGATCTTTAGAGGATAGCAGGAGTATATATAGGGCATTGGACAGACCGTAAAGGGCATCAGTTGTTTTGGGAATTGGTTTAAGGTCTTTGAGACTGGATAAGAGAGTAGGGGATGCTCTAGAATTCATTCTTAGATTATTCTTGGTTATGTATCTGTCCGACAATCCAATAAGAAGTAGAGTTTTTACCGGTTCTAATCTTAACACTCCACTAGGAAGCTTTTTGCTGCGATTTAGCTAAACAAAAACCACTAAGTGGCCAAGTTCTCTTCTTTGAGGTTGATTATGTGTGAAACTGATCAGCGTGGCATACCAGAGTAGTAAAATCATAACATTAGTGTTTTGAATTGTTATGTAGCACTTAGCAGGATGTTCTCAGTGAAGAATAGAAAGGGGAAACTTCGGAAAGCCTGGGATGGAAGTAAGGTTGCTTACAACGTAGCATCGTGGAGCGCCACTGTTATAGGGTATAATATCATCCAGTCATATTCTACATTGCAAAATCAACGAGACCCATTGTTTATCGTTCTCACCAATCTATGCATTTTTTGTTCTCACTTCACCTGACAGGATCTATCAAAACCCGGTGATCCTCAGGGTTGCATCAAAGGCCTTCTGGGCGTCGTGTCATGTAATATCGAAGCTTGTCTGATTGATGACGAAGCCTTTCGAGCACATCTCTCGCCTGTGTGCTGCGATAACAGTTTAATTTGGGCTCCTCCATGATCTATGTAAATTAAATTTCATCATGTATAAAGAATGCCATTTGTGATTACGTTCTTTACTGCACTATTCTTTCTGCATCATCGTTTATATCCATAAAACGAATAAATGCATGCTAAAGCATAAAATCACGTATATGCATAGACTACAGTTTTTATTCCAAGTTGATCTCACACTTGCACAATACCCCCATAGTTAAAAGTTTAAGACAGTTCATTAAATTGTTTTTCAAAGAATACAAGTTTGGTATCAAACATATACAGAGTAAAACGCATAGATATATATGATATCTCACAAGAACAAAAGAGCAACCCCAAAAAAGAAAAGAAAGACAATGCTTGTGGTAAAGCAACCCACCCCGGGTTTGTATCTAGTAAAGCCAAATGAAATCCTTAGTAGTTGGTTATGGCTGACTTGTGTTTAGCTTCTAATCTTCTGGTCTCACACCCAAAATCCTTACCTCATTCATTCTTTTTTGGCAGCGGCGACAGAATCACACAAGTCTAGCTTTATCAAGGCTTCCATGGTGCTGGTGGAGGCGGCGGAGTAGGGAACAATGGAGGAACAGCTGAGAAAATAGTGTTTTTGTCTATCTTACCCGTGGCTTCTGCTTCACCCGACAATGCCACAAGAGCTGCAACCAGACCAGCATTGCCTGCAAGAGTCGGTTCAGTGTAGTTGTAGTTCATACGGACATCACGGAACCCATCTCGCTTGTCAGGACCAGCAACCATGGCTCCTTCAATCGTGTTTGGGTTTGGTTTCTTGCTGTCTCTCCATTTCCAACCTCCTTTGCAGTTATATTTGACTTTGTTCTTGGGTATCGAAGCTCCTCTGTGATGCACATGTTTTGGGTATTTTGTGCCAAAACCAACGAGATAACTCATTTTCCGAGGGTTTTTACCGAGTATATAATCAATCTGCCAAAACACAACAAGGCTGAGTTAAATCCAATTCTTTAGAGGGCAACCTCAAAAATGGAGTTTAACAAGGTTTTCGTACAATCTTGGTTAAAAGTGTCATTTTTGGATCTTATCCATAACTATATCGTAGATTACCATTTATGTAAAGGCAAAGATGCATTACCTGGGATCTAGCAAAGTCACGTAGCACACTAGTCGAATAGAAATTAGGTCCACAGTACCATCCAGGAGTATCAGCAGCATCCAGATAATCACTGTATAGTGTCGCTAGGAAAGCTGCATTCACAGAATACTGCAGAGGCTGAGGGGCTCCATGATTCAACTCTATTAAACCTCCTGCACATACCAAAAGTTGCATTTTAGATATCTGAAACAAAAACAGGCCCAACGGCTGGAGTTTTCTTAGAGGCAGACAATGAAACTGGAAGGTAACTAACCGTTCGTTCTGTTAAATTTGTTGAAAACAGGTAAGTATGAGCACATGACTATGCTGGTCTGATTGTGGAAGGTCCTTAAAATTTCTTCATACGGATATCCAGGACTCAGAAACAACCTCAACCGGCTCAACAGCAACTAAATAGCAAAAGGGATTCAAAAGAGTCAGGAGAAGTATGATAAAGGCAAATGATCAAGAAGACATGAATATTTTAATATAGTAAGTTGTTCTGTGGACTGACCTGAGCACCAGCAAGCTTGTTGTCCCAGCTAAATACACCATAGTAAGGGCCACCCCAGAAGGCACCAGCATGCTTGGCCATAGTGGGTTGGGTGATTAGATTGAGATAGGTTACGTTTCCTGTAGCATAGTACATCCAAGCACCACCCCAAATGAACTCATCCCAATACATACTTGAATTATAAAACTTGCTAGATTCTGCAGTGCCTGCACTGTATCTCCCTCTCCGAGTCCTTCCAAACTGATACACCACCTTCGCACCATGGACAAGCTTTTTAGAATATTCCTTGTTATCCTTGAATACAATAGATGCTGAAGCCAGAGCAGCAGCCATCTCTGCAGCGAGATCCGAACATCCACCATTACACGTAGTCACAGGCCTTTTATAGTCCATATCCTCAGGCCGCATCCAACAGTAATGGTCATTAGGATCTGTATTTCCATCATCAGTATTCCCTGATCCGACCTGCGATAATTAAACATATGATGAGTTAACAAACAACTAAGATACCGAAAGACGAAGATCTCCTACTAAGGTCAGAAACCAGTACCTGTGACACAAGATCATCAATGGAATCAGCAGTACTATTGAAAGTCTTGAGAAAGTAATCAGTTCCCCATTTGATAAGCTCCTTAACATGAGTGAGCTCACCCGCAGCTTCGTATTTAGCACTATATTCAATAACACTCCAGCTCAACATAGTCATAGCATAAGCCATGGGGAAATTGAACTTGATAGCATCACCAGCATCATAATAACCTCCCACCAAATCTTTATAGAAGCTTCCTGTTTCACCTTTCCCATCTTGAAGCCCAGAATTACCTCTCCACGACACGTTATTATGCTTGGGCAATTTCCCAGCTACAAGCAGAATCAAAATCAGACTTAGATCTAAAACTCTATCTCTAAATTATCAGATCTTGAAGACTACTAAGCTAAATTTCAAATCAACACTTACATTTCTGAGCATTGAAGAACTTAAGAGCTTTATGAAGAGCTAATGTATAATTATCCGGCGGCGGACTCTTAGGATGATGTCGCGGCACAGTTTTAACGATCAAGGTAATAAATCCGGCGAGTAACGCGGCGGCAACAAGAGTACCAACAGTCCAGACAAAGATCTGGCGGCTAACGATAATACAACCGAGATCAACATACTTCTTCTTCTTCTGCTCCGTTGGACCAAGTAACCAACTCTGCTGCGTCTCATCGAGTGGCCGTGAAAGAGCCGCACGATCTAAATCGTTCAAATTCCGACTACGATCATCGTCGGTGGCGGAATCTGCAGTGTTGATCTCCAATGGACCTCCCCATGGATCTCGTCCGTACATGATGATGCTCTCCGATGAAGTAGCAGAGAACAACAACAATGAATCACAGTTTTGGGATTCAGATCTGGAGAAGAAAAGAGAGAAAGAAGTGTGTGGAAGTGAAGAAATGTGAAGCTAAAAGGCTCTCTAGTCAATCAATAATGTACAAAGAATCAATAATGTACAGAGAGATCTGGTTTTGGTTTTGATTCTTTTTATTATTTTTCCTTATTAAGTCTTTACTTCAATTATTTTCTTATTATATGTTTTGTTTGGTTCATTTGTACATGTTACGTTACAGCTAACACTAATTTTGGACATTTTTTTTTTTGGCCAACTATATATGATTGAGCTTTTTGGCCAACTTGTAAAATCTTATGAAGTATACTATTTTTTTTTTGTCAACAGCTTTTAATTAAAATTTTGAAAGAATTATTCATGAGGAACGTTGTTTACATATGTGATGTGATGCGGTTCGGTGCGAACTTTTCGCGCCAAATTATCCGCTTTTACATTTGCACTTCGAGGGATTAAAAATAAAGATAAGCTTGAAAATTCCTCTTTGTCTCTCTGTAAATCTTCTAAATACACTGAGAAAGCCGGCCATTCGGTTGGGGAAGACACCATTTTCACCAGGTCTAAACAGTCTGTATAAAAAGCTACTTCTTGATTGTCGGCTCCAATCATACACTTCATCGCCCAAAGAAGAGCTTCCAATTCTGTATGTAGTGGAGAAAGACTTCTTCGGATGTTGGCAGCTCCCATAGTTGGCGTCTCTCCATTTGAGGATGTGCAGAACCACCCTATTCCTGAAAATTTATCAGTCTCTTTCCATGATCCATCCACGAAACACCGATATCCGGAGTAGAGAGTACCATGGGAAAATTCTCTCACTCGAGCTCGAGATTCACTGTTTAAAGAACCATGATTTTCATTCAGAAGCTCTAATTGAGCTAACTGCCACGAATGAACTTCTTTTTCCGCTAAACATAAAACTTTTAATGGGTCTTTATCCACATTAGACCCATTATACTATTTATTTTTTCTACAATTAAATATTACTTTAATTTGTCGGAGACATTTAAATATTATTTTTATCCACCGCTTTTTTGAAAAAAAATATTATAATTTTGTTAAAAATTGCATATACTTTGTTTACTAGTAAAGCAATGGGCTAATGTCGGGTGGATGAAAAAGACACTTCTCCTAATAAACTGTCGGTGGGATGCTAATTTTATTTTATTCTTATGATTATGGTGTTTTCCACGTCATCATTTTGGTGGGCTCTTTAGACTCTAGAGTCATGATACTAATTAAAAAATATTTACAAGAAGGAACGTTACTTAAATTCCACTTCAATTTGAAAATGATAGTCTACTTCTTTTTTTTTTTTTTTTTTTTCATTCATCATACCAAAATTTTACTTACACTTGTTACAACTTATAAGATAAGTGTGTACTTACCAAAAAAAAAAAACTTATAAGATAAGTGTGTTGGACAAATTGATGGTTACCTAAAAAAAATTATATCATGAGATCATTTATAGGATTCAAACGGATTTAATCACTTACATACTAGGTAAGTACTAAAGAGAATTATGGGAATCTATCTTTTGATTTCAAATAACTTACATTCGTGTTATGTTAAAGTGTCATCATCATAAAGTTTCTCAAAACATTTCGGCCCAAAATATAAAAATAGGTTTAAGAAAATCGTAAAATGTATGTTCGAAATTTTACTACATAGAGAAAAAAACTCACTGTTTTACTACAATTACATGAAATAGATTTAAATATCTTAAAACATGGTTCAATTTCCAAAATATACTTTAATTTGGGGTTCGGATAAGATAATGAATATATATATATATATATGGTGATATAAATGATGATACTAATACAAATCATTAGGATACATCTCTTGGTGATATAATGATGATACTAATACTAATCATTAAGATACATCTCTTGGTTATCTTGGATTCGGTAATATTGGCATAAAACCCATGTTAGACCTTTGAAAAGTATCTTAGCCTTGTTTTATTTATTTTTGCCAAGATTGCTTTTTTTTAGGTAGAGCTTTTGTAATACCTTAACATTCATTTTAATGATATTTACATTTTAAGCAAAAAAATACAAATATATATTTATATATAATATATCTCTACTTTAAAAGAAAATTCCAAAAAATATATGGGCAGCTATGTAATTTTAGGCCTTATCAGCTTGCATTTAATTAGTATCATATGTCCAAAGTACAAACAAATACCAAGTGTAGAACTAGAAACCATAGAAGATGCTCATACATTTGATTACTACTTATACATGAAAACTGAAAGATAAAACATACACATATCAACCATAGGCTCTTTCCATAATTCATAAAGACTGCGATTACCTAAAATATATGCATCAATTTTTTTGTCGAATTTTCCATGATGTTCCTTGGCCTTGAAAGCATCGTTAGAGACTTAGAGATCGAAACTGTGGCTGTTGAAGTGGAAAAGAGGATGATTCGCAGACCGCCAGATGCTATGTGACCGTATCTCTTTGGCTACGGTCGTCTGAAGAGTCCCTGGACCGCATACTATTACTCCAACATCCACACTTCCCCATTTCCCATTCAACGACGCAAATATCTCTGCAATTACAAAATTAAAATATAACCATAATGGTTTAAAAATTTAACTAAACCGAATGGAGCCAAAATTCTACACCAAAAAGGCAAAAACCTGATCCAAGAATTGAACCAAAGAAATTTCCGAACAAACCATTACCGATATCAAACAAAACCGATAAAATTCCGAATTTCCTAGCAAATGTTTTCTGATAAAACCAAACTTGAACCGAAAACTGTATCAAACCAAACCGAATGAAATTCTGTTTTCATTCTGTTTCTATATTTTATAAACAAACAAATTCGAACCGAGAAAACTGGATTGGTCCCTTAATGTGTGTACTGTACCTCTAAAGTTCGGTCTGGTGCCATAACGAATAGTGGTGTAACTCTGGACATCTTCTTCTGTTGCCAACCCCTTGAGCTCTGCTGCAGATGGATTATGGGTTTCTTCTCCATTTAAATTCACCTTGTCATTGCCATTTCCTTCCACTTCACCGATTTTGTGACCCCAGCGATGCCAGAAAACAACTACAAGACCTCCAAAAATCAACACACTTGCAACCATACAAACAACAAATAGAAGTCCCTTGTACCACCACGTCGTTATGTTGTATTTTTTTATGTAAAAGATGTCCAACAATGTGATCATTGCAATGAACCCAATGGTGGAGACAATTAGATAGAGTCCAGACCATATGTTGTCCCCTGTACCAACTAGAACCGACATGGAACATCTGTTGGTCCGTGGTGGTTTAACAGAAGGATGCACCACCTTGTGAACCATCCCATCTTCCTGTATGACAATGAAACAAAGCAGAGTTCAACAAACTAAGTAAAGCCTATTGCAGCTCCCAACAATAGTTATGTAAGACTTACCAAGCGGGGCTCGGATTGTCGAGTGACATATATGTGAATCTCAAGGTTTAGTTTCTTAGAGAAGAAAGGGCAAATGGAAGGTATGTCAATTGCTGAGAGAAGAGAGAGCTCGTCTGAGTTTTTAATGGCCCATACAAGTAAAACATTACTAGGTAAACAAGCTTTCCCATCTCTTTTACGATGTAGGATATCGCTTAAGATGGCGAAAAAAGGCGTAATCCCGATTCCTCCTGCTACTAAGACCAGGTTCTCGTACCTATACTCGGAAACAAACCGTTCTTAAGTCATGCTAAAGCTTATAGCATTGAAACCATTTAAGTAGACAAAAAACGCATTACGCTAAGTGGTATGGAGATTCATGGCCATAAGGTCCTTCCACACAAGTTGTGATTTTGGGATATGAATCAGGAGAAATAAGCTGGTCTTGATTCTCTGCCTCATATAGATTTGACAACTGGTCTCTAAGCTTTGCGGTCCATCCACCAAGAACCTTTATGAGAACCGCAACATGATGGTTCCCATCTAAAGGACTTGATGAAACACTGAAAGGATGCCATTGTAGCCATGATAGTTCCCTCACTTGAAGAAAGATAAAGCTAAGCGCATTGTATCGCATATCTGATTTTCACGGTATTGAAGAGCAAAGAAAGTCAGTAAATGTTTTAGATTAGAGGTAGAGAACAGAGATTAAACAGAGTTGTTACTTGGTGGTTTTGAAAGGACTAGTTCCAGAGTTCCACAAGGCAAACTCTTTGCAGAGATTACATCTACAGTCCTTCTGGATTGGCAGAACCTCAAGAAGCGGTCTAGAATGAAAAGAAATATTCCTCCAGCAACTATACTGAATAAGTAGTCACCAACATGAAGTGCCAAGAAGACGACAAAGACGATGTATAGTTGATGTGTGTAGAAGAAGAGCTCAAAGTAATGCTTTCTCACGGTGTGAAGCGACGTGACCCACATGAGTAAACCAGCCACTAGACTGATAACTCCCGGTAACACAGCAATTCCAATAGCATTCCATGAAAATATCTGAGAGGAGTAAGTAGTTGATGATGAAACTTTACGATAGAAAACAATAAGATACAGAAATGAAATTGAGTATAGACCTATCTTGAACCGATAATCAACACTATACTTATACCAGATAAACTAGGCTATGTCAAGATTGAATGATGTTGCAGGAATCTTACAAGCTCTAAAAGTTGACCTTGAATGGTCCATCCAACAACATAACAGAGGCCATGTAAAGAGAAGAAAGCCATAGTGATATGACCAAGCCAAACATGGTATCGTGTAGCATGTTCGAAAGGGATATCGATAAGGCGGAGAAGAATGGAGCCTCTCGAGATTGGAAGAAACAAAAAAACCATGCACAACAATCCAATCACTCCTAAACGCAGACCAGTTACCTCCAACAGCAGAATACTGAACACACACACACACACACAAAACTAATGAATGGAACGTGTAGATAAAACAAAGATGGGATAAAGAAGGAAAAGAGTTTAAGAACCTTCGATTCTTGGGAAGGACGTGGAAGCGTTCAAGAAGATCAAGATTCCTCAAAGTATAAGCATATATAGCCCAAAGGAAGAAAACAGAGAAGACCATAATTCCAAGAAACTCAGCTGCAGAAACAACCCCAAATGGTCCATCCACAAGAACAGGAAATGTCCATAGCCTAAACCTCGGGAATTTTGATATCTTGTTTCTTCACAATCATCATAAAAAAACACATTTATGCAAGAACAAAAACTGATGAAAACCAAAAGAATGCAATTAGCTAGATATTATTTATACGTACTTAGTGAAGACCTTGTCTTCTCCGGAGATAATTAGATAGAGAGAAGCTAAGACAGCGATGACAAGAATCGGACCACTGAAAATTAAGAACATGCTTCCTACAAATTTAGACAATAGGTGGATGAAATTAGTTACACTTTTTGGGACATTTTTTTTTCCGGAGAAAACAAAGCAAATGATAATGTAAACCTGTGGTGCCGAGGAAAGTCTTGGAGGCGACTACTGTGAGGAAATCATCGCCGAGTTGTTCAGGGTACAATATCATAAGAAAAACAATCCACGTCACAAAAATCATAGACATTACAACTTTCAATACCCATTTCAAAGATGAAGTCACGACAGATGATGTAGATGATGATGATGATGATGAGTCCTTGGACAAAAGAGGGGTTTTATGATCATCCATCTTTATTTGAATTTCTACTTCTCAGTGTTGTGATGAGAAGTTGGCTCAGAAGCAGCATCGGCTTTTAAAGAGGCGTTACTAGAGATAAATTAAGAAGATATTCTTTAAGAGAGTAAAGGAAGAAAAATTTCTGGACCAGTGGGGTTTCTATCATTCTTATAAATAAAATATTCTTGTAGACATCAATCCTAGTACACAATAAAAAATTAAGTTCAAAAGAAAAAGAAAAAGAGAGAGGGTCATTAACACGTGAGAGTAACGTACTTGGGAGAGAGTGTCACGTTAGTTTGATTTCAACCACAATTTAGGGTAAGGTGAGAGAGACTGAGAGTACTTACTACTTAGTATAGATAAGATGATTATTATGACGACTATGATGTTTCTTGGATAAACTGCATTACTTGAATCTGAACAAATAAAATATCAACGTAACGCGAAAGAAACATTATTCGGTTTCCACATTATATTCAAGATCCAGGGAGATAAACTTGCAAAGTTTCATTGTTAGATTGTTTCTGGTAAATGACACTATCTAACAATGAATAGAGCCAAGAAACCAACTATTAATGTGTTAAGTTTAACAAGAATAATCGACTATCTATCTCGAACAAACAAGTTAAATCAATCCAAAGAAAAACTTAGATGTATAGTCTAAAAATTTCTTAATTACACTTTCAAGGAACCGAAACAAAATCCAATAACAAATAAAAGCACCACTTACCTAAGATTGACATGTCAATAAAAGGGCACTAAGAAATTATAACTAAATTTCATGACAGAGTAAAGTCTGATTTATCCAACCACTTTAATGAAGGTGAGAATATTGATTATTGAGTATGGATAAATCGCTATTTTTCTTTTGAATATAATTTAAAATTATTTTCAAAAAAAAAAAAAATATTAAGTATGGATAAGATGATTATATTGACGATTGTAATGGTTGTTGGACCAGCTAAAATTACCCAATCAGAAGTTTAGAACAAATAGAATATCAACGCTCGAAAGTAACATTATATAGATTCCACATTTGGCGAAAAAAATAAAATATATAAGATCCAGAGAAATAAACTTGCAAGGTTTCACAATTGATAAGTTGTTCTGGTAAAGACACTATATTAAGATAAAATTTATATATTAAGTTATTAACTCAAAGGAACTAAGAAATAGCTAGGAAATCAACTGTTCATGTATTAAGTTTTCGGAGGATAATCAACTATCATGAAATAGCATCAATCTCAATTAGGGATGTTAAAGTTGGCTAAAAACCCAGTGGGTACCCCAAACCCATGTTTAAAACTGAGTCCAAAACCTGCTTTTCTAGTTTAAAATATATAGGTTTAAAACGGGCGGGTACCCGAAACGATGGAGTCTTACACGGGTTTACCCTATCATGTTATGGGTACCCATCGGGTTTTTTTTTTCTCACTTAACTGTTATGTATAAAAGGAAGCGGTTTTGTATTTTTCACCTCCAAAAATTCAAAACACGAACCCTAATCCGATTGTTATTGTTTGTTTATGAGTGAATGATTTAGATTTTGTGGTACCCGATTTGATTTCAGATTTGGAAACAATAATTGAAAATGAAACCAAATTTGATGATTTTGATTTTGTTTGATCTTGTTCATGTTCTGATATTTTCTAGGATTTGGAAGCATTCTTGAATATTGACGACTGAAGCAGTGCTCGTGGTTTATTTTGAATTGGCAATTAAAAGTTGTGTCGAAGGCACTTTTTTGGTTTTAAACTTATTCTCTTAGATTTATCTCAAATATACTAAACTTCTCAATACAAGATTCACATATATCTCGTCAACAGTTTTGGATGTTGTGCTACGTAATTGGAATTTGCTGGAAATTGGGTTCATGCTGAGAACAGAGGAGCTGATTCTCGATAAAAATAATAAAAACTAAAAAGTTATCAATATTTTTTGGTAGTTATATAAAAATAATATTATCCAATTTTTATAAATTAAAAAACTGAATTTAGATGAATACATTACAAGATATAGTTGTTTCCATAATACATACAGACTGTGATTACCTAAAATATATGCATCAATATTTTTTCGAATTTCCATTATGTTCTTTGGCCTTGAAAGGATAGTTATAGATCGAAACTGTGGCTGTTGAAGTGGAAAAGAGGATGATTCGCTGATCGCCAGATGCTATGTGATCGTATCTCTTTGGCTACGGTCGTTTGAAGAGTCGCTGGACCGCATACTATTACTCCAACATCCACACTTCCCCATTTCCCATTCAATGACTCAAATATCTCTGCAATTACATAATTCAAATATCACATAAACCATTAAAAGATTAAAGTTAACCGATTCGAGCCAAAATTCTACACCGAAAACCTGATTCAAGAACCGAATCAAAATCGGAATTCCTTTGAAATTTTATTTAGAAAACCAAAACCGTGTCAAACCAATCCGAATGATTTTCAGTATCTATATTTTATAAATAACATAAAAAAAAACAAGCTAACCGGATTTGACACCCCTAATTTTGTACTGTACCTCTAAAGGCCGGTCTGGTGCCATAACGGATAGTGGTGTAACTCTGGACATCTTCTTCTATGTCCAAGCCCTTGAGCTCTGCTGCATATGGATTATGGGTTTCTTCTCCGTTCAAATATACCTTGTCATTGCCATTTGCTTCCACTTTACCGGTTTTGTGACCCCAACGATGCCAGAAAACAACTACAAGGCCACCAAAAATCAACACACTTGCAACCATACAAACAATAAATAGAAGTCCTTTGTACCACCACGTCGTTATGTTGTATTTGTTTATGTAAAAGACGTCCAAAAATGTGATCATTGCAATAAACCCAATGGTGGAGACAATTAGATAGAGTCCAGACCATATATTGTCCCCTGTACCAACTAGAACCGACATGGAACATCCGTTGGTCCGTGGTGGTTTGACAGAAGGATGCACCACCATCTGAACCATCCCATCTTCCTGCATGACAATGAAACAAAGCAGAGTTCAACAGACTAAATAAGGCCTATTGGAGCTCCCAGAAGACTTATATAAGACTTACCAAGCGAGGCTCGGATTGTCGAGTAACATATATGTGAATCTCAAGGCTTAGTTTCTTAGAGAAGAAAGGGCAAATGGAAGGTACGTCGATTGCTGAGAGTAGAGAGAGCTCGTCTGAGTTTTTAATGGCCCACACAACTAAAACCTTACTAGGCAAACAAGCTTTCCCATCTCTTTTACGGTGTAGGATATCACTTAAGATGGCGAAAAAAGGTGTAATACCGATTCCTCCTGCTACTAAAACCAGGTTCTCGTACCTGCACTCGCAAATAAACCTTTCTTGAGTCACTCTAAAGCTTATTTCATTGAAACAATTCAAATAGGCGAAACACATTACGCTAAGTGGTATGGAGATTCATGGCCATAAGGCCCTTCCACACAAGTTGTGATTTTGGGATATGAATCAGGAGAAATAAGCTGGTCTTGATTCTCTGCCTCATATAGATTTGACAACTGGTCTCTAAGCTTTGCGGTCCATCCACCAAGAACCTTTATGAGAACCGCAACATGATGGTTCCCATCTAGAGGACTTGATGAAACACTGAAAGGATGCCACTGTAACCAAGATAGTTCCCTCACTTGAAGAAAGATAAAGCTAAGAGCATTGTATCGCATATCTGATTTTTGCGGTATTGAAGAGGACAAAAAGTCAGTAAATGATTTAGATTAGAGGTAGAGAACAGAGAGTAAACAGAGTTTTTACTTGGTGGTTTTGAAAGGACTAGTTCCAGAGTTCCACAGGGTAAACTCTTTGCAGAGATTACATCTACAGTCCTTCTGGATTGGCAGAACCTCAAGAAGCGGTCGAGAATGAAAAGGAATATTCCTCCAGCAACTATACTGAACAAGTAGTCACCAACATGAAGTGCCAAGAACACAACAAAGACGATGTATAGTTGATGTGTGTAGAAGAAGAGCTCAAAGTAAAACTTTCTCACGGTGTGAAGGGACGTGACCCACATGAGTAAACCAGCCACTAGACTGATAACTCCGGGTAAAACAGCGATTCCAGTATCTTTCCATTCAAATAACTGAAAGGAAAAAGTAGTTGATGATTAAAGTTTAGAAAGCAATAAGAATTGGAAATGAAACTGTGGGGTTCCATCTCAAAACCAATTGGTATCGACTCTATACTTATATATCAGATCAACTAGGTTTTACTGTCATGTCAAGATTGCAGGAATCTTACAAGCTCTAAAAGTTGACCTTGAATAGTCCATCCAACAACATAACAGAGGCCATGTAAGGAGAAGAAAGCCATAGTGATATGACCAAGCCAAACATGATATCTTGTAGCATGTTCGAAAGGGATATCGATAAGGCGGAGAAGAATGGAGCCTCTCGAGATTGGAAGAAACAAAAACACCATACACAACAATCCAATCATCCCAAAACGCAGACCCGTTAACTCCAACAGAAAAATACTGAACACACACACACACACACACACAAAAAAACAATGGTTAGAATGAAACAAAAAGCGAAGATGGGATACAGAAGGAAATGAGCTTAAGAACCTTCTGTTCTTGGGAAGCACGTGGAAGTATTCAAGAACGTTGAGATTCCTCAAGGTATAAGCATAGATAGCCCAAAGGAAAAAAACAGAGAAGACCATAATTCCAAGAAACTCAGCTGCAGAAACAACTCCAAATGGTCCATCCACAAGAACAGGAAATGTCCATAGCCTAAACCTCGGGAACTTCGATATCTTCTTCCTTCACGAAAACACAAAAAAAAATCGAAACCACAAGAATGCAATGACGATTAAGAGTTTAATTAAGACATTATTGTAGTAATACCAATCATTTAGGGTTTATATTATTTTATATTTAAACCATTGTAATCAACACAATCAAATCAATAAAATAGTTAAAGAAATCTCAACCGTACGTACTTAGTGAAAACCCTCTCTTCCCCTGATATGATCAGATAGAGAGAAGCTAAGACGGCGATGACAAGAATCGGACCACTGAAAATTAAGAACATGCTTCCTGCAATTTAAGATAATCAGAGAGTGAAATTAGTTACACTTTTT